GACAATAATACTAAAGGTGAGCAGAATAAAGGCCAGCTGAGGGGATACATAGTTCAGTTTGAGAATAATCAGAATTATCTTATATTATCTTCCTCTTAGAAAATATCATCAGCAACATCCTTGTTTTTTGTCTTCCTACTGAATGCCTATCTTTCTGTTTAGGCCTTTTAAACAGTAAGCTTCAGTGAGAAAGGCCTTACAAGTCTCTCTGTTAACTATTTTTGGCCTAAAACCAAGGTAAAATGGTTTACTAAATAAATAAAATAAAATAAATAAATAAAACAGCTCAATGGCTAAGATGCTGAGCTTGTCGATCAAAAGGTTGGCAGTTCAGTGGTTCGAATCCCTAGTGCCGTGTAACAGGGTGAACTTCCATTACTTGTCCCAGCTTCTGCCAACCTAGCTGTTCGAAAGCACATAAAAAATGCAAGTAGAAAAATAGGGACCACCTTTGGTGGAAAGGTAACAGCGTTCCATGTGCTTTTGGTATTTAGTCATGCCGGCCACATGACCATGGAGACATCTTCGGACAGCGCTGGCTCTTCAGCTTTGAAACAGAAATAAGCACCGCCCCCTAGAGTCGGGAACGACTAGCACATATGTACAAGGGGGACCTTTACCTTTTAGTTTGGATACATTCTGTAAGTTAGCCCATTTGAAGTATCTTGTTTCAAAAATTGTTGCCCTATAATGCACATTTAACTAAGTTAAAGGTCATGACAATGAGAGATTTGTTTATGGAATGTTTCTTGTTTAACGTGAATATTCCATTTATGTACTCTGCTTTCTTTTCTCTACCTAATGTCTTAATTTATTTATCTAATTTTATCTTTCTTTTTTACATTTTCCTAATCTTACCAATTCTGAAAGAGAAAAGCCTGGTGGATATGTACTAAAACGAAAGTTTTTAATGTGTATGAAAGCTTTGGCCTATTGGCAGACACCATACTGAAAACCTGCCAAGCAGACCTCTCTTCTAAAAAGTGGAAGATGATGCTCTTCTCCTGCTTAACTGTAATTTAAATGAAATCCGTGCACAGGAAGAGAAGCATAAAATAGTGAAAGACATTTTCTCCATAATTACCAATAATTTTCCTTCGAAGTAGTAGGGGAGAAGTGCCAAGTATATTACAGACTAGAATGCCTTTTTTTCATAGGACTGTTTCAAGAAACTCAAGAGATTTTCACACAAACTGAGAAACAGCCTTAAGCTTCTCTGTAATATACAGAGGAGGAAAATGTATGGCTTTCCAAATGTGGCGCAACTACATCTTCCAACATCCATGATTATTGTTTCCTTGGTAGACGATGGAGAGACACTGACATAAGAAAGTAACCTATGACATTTACTACATTAAATTCTGTGTTTATTGGAGCTTTTCTGGGTAGGGGGGGGACTGACAATAATTTTGAGTATCACTTTTTCTGCTCTCAATTTTAATATAGCCAGACATGAATCCTAAACTTCTCTGTCTCAAGGTAACAGGCATTTACACTTTTGTGTATATCCTGCCAACAGAATTAGAAGTTTGGCTCAACTTTCAGCTTTCTAAATATGGACGCAAGGCTGTCCTTACTTTTAAATTCTGTTTTACTAAACTTTAAGTCTTCTAGCAATGAGTGAATGGCTACCACATGAATAAGACTAAGTAAATAGTTGATTTCCCATTGGTAATATGAGGGTGTTATTGGCTCTTCTGACTTTAGCAACTCAAATGCGTAGCATCTTCTTCCCACTCTTCCCATAAATTAATGGATATTTTGTGCAGTCCATTGTGCACTGAAGTGGTGGCTGAATTCTTGGAATGCTTAGGAAATCCACATTTTTCTCAGTGGTGGAGGAGCAATTATACTAGCATATTGGAAAACCACTTGCTTTTGGCCATCCCCTCACTGATAAAATGCTTGAAAGCCTGCAACTGAAACTTTAAAAAATTAAAATTATCCAAAAAGTCTATCTTCCTTGCTGCTTTCATTTCATTTTGCCAAATAGTGATCAGACTTCAAATGTTTTGAAGTTTCTATATCATGGTCTACAAGCAAAACTTTTTTTCAATGGAATTTTTAATCAGTTTGAATTGAATTGGATTACTGGTGAATCTTGAATTGAATCATACCCAATGGAATTTTGAATCTCTAAGCCAAATAAAATCAAGGCTATTAACTGGAGGTGCTCCAAGTTATTGTTCAACAATCCCTTGGAGTTAAATATTCCATACTGCTGGGAATTCTTGACCAACATTGAATTTCTCATCAAACAAATGGATGAATATACTAAGATATAATGTTATAAAATGATTGCAATAAAACCAATGTTAATATTTCATTATTTTCTGATTTGTATTTCCATACAGAAATTGTAATTTCTATTGAACAATAATAGAATAAATTTTACTAAACTTTTCTTTCTTCAAAATACTTCATTTGATCTATAATATTACTTTCCAATATCTCTGCAAAGCACTCTTCTCTACCTTGAGGCTGTCCAAGTTGGCTTGGACAATCCTTCATTAGGACTTGGAGTCTCACCACATCTGGAAGTTTTAATGCTGTAAACAAGTTATAGTATTAATGCTATAAAACAAGTTAATATAATTATTTTCCCACTACTGAAAAAGTATGGGTTTCCTAAGCTTGGCCAAGATTGATTGAATAAAATTGTTGTAGTGTTGCTTGTGATTCAAACAAATTGTGTTTCTGATCAACATGGTTCATAACCACAATACTATTTCCAAACCAGTTATTTGTTTAAATCCAGATACAGATTTTCTTTTCCATTGGGCCATCACTTTTCTTTTTTACTAGTTGCTAGAAAGAAAATATGAAAGGAAAAAAAAACATGGATTGAACAGAGAATGTCAATATCAAGCATGAAATTGCTATAAGAAAGTATGCAAATTAGATATCTAGAAGCAGCCTTTCTGTTGTAAGCTTATAACCTTAGCTTGAGAGCCTATCATAGTCACTATATGATACCAAACCTCTGTAGCAGATGAACTGGAGAATGAGGCAAAAAATGCTTGGCTCCAAGCACTCTAGGCTGACACTACCTATTTAATCTAAATAAGAGTGAAGATGTATGGAAAGTAAATGAAGCAGTTTGACTAGAAAAAAGGATTCTGTGCCAGAAAAAAGATAAAATCTGGTTTGTTCTTTTTTTCTCACACATACAGGTGCTAAATCATCAGCAATTCACTAGAAAGCAGTACATGGCACAATTATGGCAAAGTTCCACAACTACAGTTACATTCCAGTCAATATGATTAGAATGCTGAGCATTTTAAGGCTTTAATCTTGCAAAAATCAGTATCGAGACTCATTGCTTTCTCTATCATTTCAAATATAAATACAATTTTATCCCCAAGATTCATCAAAGTGATTGGTAAGAATAAATACCAACATTTTTACTTGTAATAATCATATATAAAATAATGACACAAGCATGCATATGCCTTCTAAATTATTATTCAAGTAGTGCATAGGGAATTACTCTTAGAAGAACCTTAATTTGCCAATGAATCATGTCAAAAAAAAGTTGTCAGCACAGAAAACCAACTAATCATAGAATAATATATTCCTCAATCCCTACAAAAGCCTTATTTTTTGAAAATTGTTTTTGAATAGTCCTTTTTTTTCAAAATCATATTTCCCTCTCATTTAGCCCCTTGCACCGATTCAAAAGCACCACTAAATAGTAATGGAAATGTGTTGAAACCATAAACAATATTTCACTGCATGATATTTGCTGTATTATGTTTTGTAATAGAAGACATATGTGAAAGAGATTAGAATCCAGTTTGCGTGAGACATGACAGGAAAAAAAAAAGCCAGATGAAGATATCCAAGGCAGACATTGAAATGCAAATGCAGAAAAATTATGCTGTGCTCTTTTTCCATTCATTTTCATTCCATTCCATCTGATGAAAGAGAATTTGCTCTTAAAATTTATATTAAAATGTCACAATTGGAGAAGAGTCTCATGCACTTATTTAGGTTTACAGCCAAGGGTAGGTTTAAATTGCCTTGCATATTACTGCCCAATTATATCTCCAATTCCCAGGCTTCTCATACTTCAATTTAAGGAAAGGTATCACAAGAGTTATAGCCATGGCTACTCATGATGCTATCAAAGTATGCATTGTGATGTCACAACACAGACTACACCAGGGGTGAAATGCTACTGGTTTAGACCGGTTTGACTGAACCGGTAGCGATGGCGGCAGGTGGTTCGGAGAATCTGTAGCGATGGCAGCGCGAGGCTCCGCCCATCCACCCTGGTTTTAACCAGGAAGTAACCTGTTTTTTACCCTCTGCTCATATGCAGAAGGGTTTGCATATGCACAGAGGGTCCATGCATGCACGTGACATGTGAGCGAGTGAAGCGAGTACGCCCACGCGGCACGTGCACTTCCGAACCGGTAGGGAAGGTAAGTAGATTTCACCCCTGGGCTACACCCTTTCATATTTACATCATGATGGTGGAAAGAAGTACATTAAGGTGCAGTTTGCACTATGATACTGCAATGCATGTCTTGTCACTTGTTCCTCCTATGATAAGGATGCCTATGAAATTCACTTTGTTCATGTAAGATGGAGCTTACATGAAAGAAATCTTCAACACTTCCCACAAAGGAGGCAGTAAAGCAGATTTTTAACACATCATAAATACATATAATAAATATATTTGATAGCAGGTAAATAAACAAAATTCTCAAAGTTTTACTATAGCCTTTTTTTCCTTCCCCCCCCGCCCAATACATACATACATATATTATACACACATGTTAAATTAATATGGAAGAAATATTTACTTCATTGTGACCTTCCAAATAAGAAAGCAGGTGAGAATTCTAAGCAGCCTATAAAACTAGACCATAAACAAGACAGATGGTAGAACTTGAATTATTTATTCAGAGCAGGTTTTTCCACTTGCATGTCAGGGTCCAAGATCAAATTTAGAAATGCTTGACAATAATTACAGTATGTAGAAATAATCTTACCCAGCAAGTTTGTCAGCCATAGCGCCAAATCTTCCTTCATTGGTAACAAATTAGCCTCATGTCTGCTGGCCAACCACTGGCTGTACTGGTGCATATCAGAGAGGCCAGGGCCTCGGACCTTAGGACTCAGAGAAGTGCACATCCTTCAGCCACTGATGGTACCTGAACTCTAGAAAATGTAAACAAAAAAACAAAAAAAAAATCACCTCATATAATGAATTGCTTCCAGATGCTAAGGGTCCAGATTCAATAGAAGCCAGTGTTAAAAGATGAAAGATAGATGCACAAGAACAGAGCACAGTAAGACAATTGCATATTAGCATGTTTTTGTCAAATGTAGACTTTTGGTGTTGATCATTCAAAGGCAAAAAAACAGTTCTGTCTGTATATATTTTTGTATATACAGCAGGGATGGGCAACTGTGGCCCTTTTACAACCTGTGGACTTCAACTCCCAGAATTCCTGAGACAGCTTGGCTGTCTCAGGAATTCTGGGAGTTGAAGTCCACAGGTTGTAAAAGGGCCACAGTTGCCCACCCCTGATATACAGGTATCTGTGCATAGACATACAAACATACGTGTGTGCGCACGCACATGCATTATTATTTCAGTGAAGGTTATGGACAACAGTGTACCATGTTGATCCAATGTGGAATCATAGCAGTGCCTCCCAGTGTAGGACTGAGAGAGAGTGAGTAACCTGAAGTTTACCCAGTCAGCTTTTTGCTCTCAGAAAAACATGGGAAAAATCAGTCGCACCAAATCTTCCTTCTCCTTTCAGAGAAACTGCAGGCTTATGATGGATGCCTGCCTGCCTGGAGTCAAGTTATAACTTGTAACTCTGATGCAAGATGACAGATCAGGCTGTCTTTTGGATCTTGTTCATTGACTGGGAACTATCTACACTCTTGGCTTACGTGGCTCCTTTAATTCATAATGACATGTGGTCTTCCTTTGTGCTGTATTAAAACCCACTGAGGGCTCAAAAGTGAGGCTACCTTTCCTATCTTTGATGGGATACCAACATTAATCAACACTGACACTGAGTTTAGAATAAAAGTGTATGAAATACTGCAAATATAAAACATTACCTTAAGTGGAAAAAGGAAGCAGAGGCAATGAATTACAAAGGTAGACCCTGGGTCTCTCCTAATCAGAATATGCATGTGTATGTGTGTTCGTGTGCATGTGTGTCAGTGGTGGGTTTCTACCAGTTCGCCCCATTTCGGGCGAACTGGTAGTGGCAGTGGCGGGAGGCTCCGCCCACCCACTTGGATGTCATCATGGATGCACTGCGCATGCACATAATGCTCTGAGCATACGCAGAAGGTTCTGTGCATGCGCAGAAGCGCCACGTGTGAGCAAAATATGCGCGCACACACACGGGTGCTCTCGATTCTGAACCGGTAGCGAAGGTAAGTGGAACCCACTACTGATGTGCGTATATATACTGGTATACTGTATGCACATTAAAAATCTCTGAAATAAAGAAATTTAAAAGCTAGACATGTTAAGAGGTATGGTATAGTCCCGTGATGGTGAACCTATGGCAAGCATGCCACAGGTGGAACACAGAGCCATATTAGTGGGCATGCGAGCTTTGCTCTAACTCAGCTCCAGCACATATGCACGTGCTGGCCAGCTGATTTTGGGGCCTTCTGGGCCCACCAGAAGTCGGCAAACGGGCTGTTTCCGGCCTCCAGAGGGCCTCTGTGGGGGTGGGGAAGGCTGTTTTCGCCCTCCCCATGTTCCTAGAAAGCCTCTGGAACCTGGGTAGGGAGAAAAACAGGGCCCACCGTGCCATCACATGCCAAAAGCGGGGGGAGCACCAGGAGGGTCACGCACACATGCGTGGGGGGCAAGACACATAGAATTATGGGGTGTGGGCATGTGCACACGCAATCAGCCCTCATTCCCCCCGCTTTTGGCATGCGATGGCAAAAAGGTTAGCCATAACTGGTTTAGTCCATGGTGCTTTTTGAGGTTGGTTATTTTATTGCAGACCTTTTATTATTCAACTAGGTAACATCATCAGTGCTAATGAGTGTGGGGTTTGTTTCTTGTTTATATATAGTTATGTGCCATGCTAGTGTTGGTAGAATTATGGTTTTCTCCTTAGTAATTCCTAGAAGTTCACAATGCTCAGTAAATATTTCTTATCTATTGAAAAAGTCCTACTGCTTTAAAAAAAGAGTACCAAGGTTTGCCTATGATTTTTTACTTACTAATTTGATCAGAATAAAATAATGTTTATTCTTTTATCTCTGTGAATATCACCCCTCCTTGATCTTTAGCTTATTTCTTGAAATCTGGTTCTTTAACAAAGTCTATAATGGCTGTTTACATTATTATTATTATGGTAATAGTTTATAAGGTTCTAAACCTTCTGAGAATGTTTTCAAGCATCCACAGCTTGAATCTGCCATTTTCTATCTACAGAATAATATATTAATAATATATGGGTGAATTAGATTCAGTGGCATCAAGTCCTTTTTTTTTTGAGCCTAGGTTATAATTTGTAAAACAGGAAATGGGTTCCAATATTTAGAACAAAAGAAATACGAAGTTAAGGAGAGTTCTGTCTCTTCTACCCTCCTTCACTTCTGATATTAGAATTTAAGTGAGGAAAATTGGAAAATATAATGATAGTTTAAATTATATATTATGAGCATGAGAAACTCAGCTCCTGATGCAGGGGTGAAATTCAGCAGGTTCTGACAGGTTCTGGAGAACCGGTAGCGGAAATTTTGAGTAGTTCAGAGAACCAGCAAATACCACCTCTGGCTGACCCCAGAGTGGGGTTGGAATAGAGATTTTGCAGTAACCTTCCCCCAGGAGTGGGGTGAGAATGGAGATTTTGCAGTAACCTTCCCTTGGAGTTGGGTGGGAATGGAGATTTTGCAGGATCCTTCCCCTGGAGTGGGGTGGGAATGGAAATTTTGCAGGATCCTTCCCCTGGAGTGGGGTGGGAATGGAGATTTTGCAGGAACCTTCCCCTGCCACGCCCACCAAGCCACACCCACAGAACCAGTAGTAAAAAAAATTGAATTCTACCACTGTCCTGATGATTATAGATACAATTGGTTGATATTCTTGGCCAGAACACATAAGTAGTTTGCCATTGCTTTCTTCTGGGTTAGGTTATATTTTTTTTCTCCCATATTTCCACTCAAATAATAACCAGGCTTAACTCTGCATAGCTTCTAAATCCAGATAAGGAGAACCAGATGTAGAGCTTTGAACTACTGAGATAAGTATTGTATCTAAACCTTGAAACTCTGCCTCCTGAAGCAGATCTAATTTTTCACATTTGATTCATTTAACATTTGTTCTCCTCCCCCTCCAAGATGTGTCTAAATCATTTGACAGCAGCCTAATGACATAAATATAGTTGTGTCAAAACTGACTATGCCCCAATACAGTAAGGTGTCTATATCATCTTTCAAATCATTTTCTAAATAGAAGCTCATTAGAAGATATATCAATTTCAGATTAAGACACAGAATTACCTAAATTAATGCATAGATAAAACACTACATATATGGAAGGATGAATTATATCCTTATGAAACTAGGAAAAGAAAAACATATCAGCAAGTGGAACCAAAAAAAATGATATTTTTATTTCAGTTATGGCATCGTTGATTCAATGGCTTCAGAAAGGAAAAGTATTTGATAAGGAACATAGACCTATGAAAGAAATGGGGACGGACAGACTAGCAACAACAAGAGATAACTGGAAAGAGTCAGCCAACAAAGAAGGATGAATATACCTGATGATCAACCTGTATACCTAAACACCCCTTGGAATTTTAATTGTTAAACCCAGGATGGTATTTTCTTAGTGCTACTATGTCATCTGGGGGCCAAACCTCTCTCCTCAAAAATCCCAGAATAACATTTTTTGTAGTATTTGGTGAAATAATGTATTATTCAGTTCATTGTGGGTGTTTATCTCATCAAACTCTTCTTTCTTTGAAACAGGAAAAAAATGAATGGATAGGTGTTTTCAGAACATCAGAAAAGACCATTTTAAAACAGCAAGGGCATCATGGAAGTGTAGAAAGTTAGCACCCATCCATCTCCTAGAAAAATGAAATATTCTAGGAAATATTAAAAAGGCAGAATATTATATTTCGCTGGATGAGAAATGGAGAAATATTTTTTTTAGGTGGGAAGCAGACTCAGTTTTAATAGCCCCCATCCTCCTCAAGAGCCCATAGCAGATGTCAGCACTTAAGAGATAAAGAGATGGCTAGGTCTATTCATAAGCAAATACCCTCACCCAAGATCCAACAAAGGTAGGATTAGCCCTCAGCCATAATAGGAATTGCCCAAAGTCCCTTCATTACATCACCCAGCAAGATTCAACCAAGCCTGGGACTCAAGACAACCTACAAAGTTACCCCTGCATGGCCCCATGGGAGTCTGACAGCCAATCAGAATATATTTCTTTCACAGGAACAGGAAGCAAGTTCAAAACCAAAGAGAAGGTATAAATCTCTCTATATCTCTCTCTCTTTCACCCATGTGCTCGATTGCCCAGGACCTCAAACCATGTGGTCCTGTCCACCATTAAACCATCTTTCCAAATAGCTTCCATGTTTCCAGTGTCTTTCTCCCCACTTGGAACTGAACCCAGATGGACACTTCTCCCAACAAAAGTATCATAATTCCAGCTGTGGCAGGGGAAAGGGGCAGAGAGATTAATTCTACAGCCATTGTCATTTTGTAACTCTTTTCATCTGCTTTCTTTTTTCTCCTTAAGTTAATTATTTTTGTTTGTAGTACATCATGCAGTATTTCATGCACACATTTCGCACATTCGTTCTAAATTCAGCATCAATGTTGATTAATGTTGATGTTCCTATAAAAAGATGGGAATGATAGCCTTACTTTTAAGCCCTAAGTGGATTTTAATGTAGCACAAAGGAAGACCGCATGCCGTTATGAATTAAAGGAATCACCTAAACCAGAACTGTAGATGGTTCCCAGTCAATGAACAAGATCCAAAAGACAGCCTGATCTGTCAGTTTATATCAAGATTACAAGTTACCATATCCTGACCTCAACCAGGAAGGCATTCTTCATAAGCCTGCAGTTTCTCTGGCAAGGATAAGGAAGATTTGAGGTGACTTATTATTTTCATGTATCTTTGTAAGCATCAACAT